CAAGGACCTCAAGGGAAAGGTGGCGGTGATCACTGGTTAGTCTCGACCTGTATCGCTTCTCCTCCGAAAACAGTATAACTGACTGGACACGCGCATCTCAGGTGGCGCTCAAGGCATCGGGGCAGCTACGGTCGAGTTGTTCTACGAGCAGGGTGCTCATGTCTTCTTCGCCGACTGGGATGCGACGAAGGGGCAGGAGCTCGAAGCCACGCTTCGCCATCGTCCGTCCCCCAACCAGGGGACAGCAACCTTTCGGCAGGTGGATGTCCGTAACTACCAATCGCAAGTCGATCTGGTAGAGTCGGCATACCAGCAGCATGGGCGCCTTGACTTTGCCGTGTCGTGTGCTGCCGTCAAAGAGCCGGACGGATGGTTCGAGCCCGCAGACCTCAACCTCGAGACGGTCCGACAGGTAATGAACGCCCCTCGCTTATATTCCCTACGCGAGACGTCCTGATTGATAGCTCTACCAGGAACCAACCCCGCTGAAGGACTCGATCGAGATAAGCCTGACGAGCGTGGTGGCCTTCTGCCGGGTGGTGCTGGCTTACATGGCCGCGTCGCCCGGCGATTCGCCCAAGTCCATCACGCTGGTGTCGTCCATTGCCGGCATCACCGAGTCGCCCGGCCTCTTCGCCTACGGCGCGGCCAAGCACGGCGTGATCGGGATGATGCGCGCGCTTCGGCGCTGGGCGCCCGTCAAGTACGGCGTGCGCGCGAACGCCATCTGCCCTTGGGCCACCGATACCCAGATGCTCGGGGTCAAGGACATGTGGGTGCGCGAGAAGATGCCCATCAACACGCCCCGCGACGTCGCCCAGATGATCGCCCAGTGTGCCGTGGACCAGAGTCTCAACGGGCGCGCCGTGTTCGTGTCGGGAGGCAGGGGGTTCGATACCGAGGAGGGCGTGGACCGCACCTTGCCGCAGTGGATGGGCGAGAAGAATGCAGAGCAGTTCTTGAAGGGGCAGGAACTTCTTGGTCTGGTAAGAGCTCAAACTAAAGGCGTCAGAGTAGCGGTGACTGACAATTCACAGGGCGATGGCTGGACGAAGCCCGAACTATGAACTTCATATCCCAATGATGGCGATGTACACCTGATCTGTAATAGGCATCCGACTCTCAAGATCGCCACACTGCGTGTTCAAGAGTCTCCGCCCTGCCTGCGACTCATCTACTATCCAAGCGGCTGACACAATCGTCGCCAATAAGATCATTCTACTCTATAGAAACAACAAGACCACAAATACTTGTCCTATCACTTCGTTATACTGGAATGATCGCCGCCAATGCAGTTAACAATTAAGGTACACGTAGGCGAGCTCTTCAAATACGAGAAGATAAAGGGGTGATTGTAAGCATCGCTAGCCCTCGCGGGTGGCGGTAACTGACTGTTACGCTGTACGGTGGGAGCACCATGTGGGCTCACAATGGCTTGGAAGCAACCCACACCTCCAGTGTACAACACATAATCCGCCACTGAAGCAGGACGGAATCTCGAGTTCGGCAGCCCGTGCGTGAGACCTCGATGAGGTCTTACGAAACACCAGACTCGGAAGTGGCAAGCGGCGAACCTTAAATCGCCGGGGCCCGATAGATACGCCGCGGGAACGAGACCTAAAGGGCACGGGGGGGAAGTTACCCAACCAGAGCACACACGCACACACACACACACAAGTTGCCTCGAAGACCGGGTGGCTCGCGGCTTTGATCGACCTTAAGTCCACAACCTGGGTCCCGCCTTGCTATGCTGATCTGTGCCGGTTGAGATGAAGGGAAGTGAACAACGTACGTCGTACGTGCGTGCCAAAGAGCTTGCGTGCGCTACCAAACACGACGCATCACATCCTCGACCCACCCACGAAAACGACGGCAGCATGTCCATCATCCTCTTCCGCGACGCCGGCGCGGGGTCGTTGGATCCCTCCGCGTTCGCTTCGACGCGGGCATTGGCGGAAAGGGGAATAGGGGAGTAGCCGCACAGAGAAGAAGAAGAAGAAAAGAAGAAGCAGGGGAATATGGATCCACGGACGTAGGGCTGGGACCAGGCCACGGGACGGCAGCCGACTCGCCGGATGCCACGCCCATCGCCGGTCTCAGCTTCGCGTATCCGCCGGTGCCGCTCGGCGCGCTGATCTTGAGCACGGTGCGGATGGTGGTGATTGGGGAGCGGAGAGGAACTAGAAGGATGCGACGAAGAGGAGACGAATTTTGCTTCTTGGGCCCGGGTAGCCACAGTCCTTCTGGCCGATGCTCTGGATACGTTACCTCGGTGGATGAGGCGGGGCCCGATAGATGGTTCTTGACTTGATGTGTAAGGTAGGTAGTCACAAGGTCTTGCGCCCTTGAAGATCACACCTAGTGGAGTGCTAAGCAAGGGGGGCAGATCGGACGACGGGCCTGGTCTCTTGGTGCTTGTCGCATCGCTCAGGCAGTGGCGAATCATCTGTCCGGCTTATTAGTTGGATACCATGGGGGAGTTGGGCGTTGATGGCTGACCGTGTTATTGGATGAACGTTGCCATCGCTTGGTATGGCCTATTGAGCAACTTACAATCAGGGGAACCCTTTCCGGGGCTTAGGTGGAACTCAATGACAGGTCAACGTCTTTTGACGACCTTTTCGCCCTCGTGACGAGGCCTCTCAGCTCGGAGAGAAGAGTCCCACCGGACTACCTTTTCCAACCCACATTCGAGGCTCTCAACTATATCTTGGAATCGGCTGGACTGGCTCGTATGAGTATAGAGCAGGAAATAATGGGGCTCTGTTAGCAATCCTATGCACAAGTCAGATCCCGTTACATCGTCAGTCCAATGATCTGCCGGGTATAGAGGCATCCGATTGCTATACTCCAGCCTCGAACCAGGGTACATTTATGGAGTGCTGAGCTCGTTCGTGCTGAAATAGTCGTTTGGCCCGTCGTATGGGGCGCCGGTAGTGAGCTGAAAACATGGGTTGTCTGCAGGCCCGCATGAGTACCTTAGGCACGTAGAGTTTCTGGACCATACGATAGCCGCCCCATGCAAACCCGATTGGCCCCATTGATTGCTGAAGACTATATGTCATTTTACCAAGTGATGTTGTATGCAGCAGGCCATTGCGTTGCGCCGCCCATTGTTGGGTCTCGTCTGGTCGTTCAAAACACCTGTTTCCCCTAGGTAGCCAGACTCTTTCATAGCGGGCCCGACGAGACCGTCGTCGGGTCGGATCTGCCCGTCGTGAGATCCGGAGGGGCTCAGATCCGCAGTGGGGTTGTTGATCGATCGATGCCTAACCCCGGACCCGACCTCGTCATGATCTGGACCCGGCGGAACATCTGCCGCCTTTTCTTCCTCGTTTCCACTTATACCGCCATGACATGCAGGAGACTCCTCCGCATTCCGTCGGCCGTTTGCGGTGGTCAGCTATCGAACGATGCGAGTCAGCTTGGAGAACTGCAGCTACCCAGCGGCGACGTCAGGTTGAGGACAATGTTCACAGCTGCGTTGTGTCAACATGGGCTGACGAACGCCACCTGGCGTCTCGGCCAACGGTGTGGTGAAGCATCATTCGCTGGACCACGGGCGACCCCATAGTTGAAGCTGTCATGGCCCGTCTTTTCACACGACGAAGGCCGCTGGACCTATGAGAGCCTCGCCTCTCTTCCAATTTGGGAAACGCCGTCGCCGCCAAGATGGGCGCATACGTGAGGATGGTTGGTAACGATGAAGCACTATTGGAAGCTGTCACCAGGGCGAAAACCTGGAAGCAACTCACTTTTCGTCACTAGGGTGGACTCTCGCTTTCGCGACGGAGCTCGGTGGGTGTGCCGGAAGGGATTATTCTGAAAAAGGCCCGTCGGTTATGCGTGTGACTTCAAAACTTGCCACGGCCAAGTTGAAGAGAGTAAGATGGAGCAACATGAGCCCCGAGGAGGAGAAGAGAAGGCCGCGAAGAGGACGGCGATGTGAACGCTTGCAGGAATGCCCATGCGATCGATCGACGGCCTTTCTCACCTCGATGACCTCGAGCTTCGACACTCCAAGGAATAACGCTGCGTTGTTGCCTATAAAAGGGGTGGTTAGCTCCCGAAGAACTGCTCAACTTCTTTTACTCACCAGCCCAAAGCACCATCCCCAGTTCACAGCAGCCTCTCCTCCTCAGCTACTCTCGCTCTTCGAAGAACACTCTTCTTACTCAGTCAAAATGAAGACCACTCTCATCACCCTCGTTGGCTTCCTCGCCGCCGCCGCCGTCGCTCACCCGACCAACACGCCCGTGGGTGACTACGATGCCTGCCCGGATGGTCTCTACTCGAACCCTCAGTGCTGCGCCACCGATGTCCTCGGGGTTGCTGACTTGAACTGCGACTCTCGTATGTGTCGCCATCACTTCTTCGCTCCTTCTGATATAAGAGCTGACCACTATGTTCGCGCAAACAGCATCCGGTACCCCCACCAGCGCCGACTCGTTCAAGGACATCTGCGCCGGTGGCGGCCAGCGCGCCCGCTGCTGCGTTCTGCCCGTTGTAAGTGATCTTCCACCGCGCCTGGTCTAAGGAGGAATAGAAGCTAACGCACACCTCACACTTTCAGCTTGGCCTTGGCGTGCTCTGCCAGACTCCCCCTGGCCTCGGTAGCCAGTAGACGAGGACCCGATGCCAGACCGAATATGACAACAAGCCTCATGCCCGAGGGCGGAACTGGAAGAGCGTGTCTCGTTGGACGACTAAGGGATGTGTTTCTTTCGCTCGAGTACCTGCTGTAACAGGGGAGATGCTTTGGTTTGGGGACTTGACCCCGTCCACTCCTTCGTGGCTAGTCGACGAGCCACGGCTTATGAAGATGTAAAACACACCTAGCTTAGAAATACAAGGCAACGATCTAGGCAAACATGCTCTTGCAGCGTCGTGACTAGGCCGTGGTGAATGGACCGTTGAGGGTGTGTGGACAGTGTGGTAAAACTAAGGCCATAAGGCCATGAGAGGCAAGAATGTGGGAGCCGCAAAAAGTAAAATACTTGCATCCACTTTGGGATTCGAACCCAAGACTTCTGGCTTGTAGGTAAAAGCAACCGGAAACCAGCGAGCTAAACCACTGCTCTAAGTGGACATTAGTTGCCAGAAACGGTACTCTATTCATGACCTTCTGGCATAGAGGCTGTGATTGCGGACCCGTGAGCATCGTGGCATGGGCTTCTGGAATAGAACGGACGATATGGAACGCCACTGAGTGCAATTAAAGGCAGGAGCGAGGGGAGCACATGTACAAGCCAAGCAAACAGGAGCCCTCCAGGCTGCTCAGCTCCTTTGGCCAGCTGATACATGACGACATCGTCCCAAACGAGTCTAAGCTCAGAGTGGACCGTGGGAGAGCTGAGAGTCACTTGAGGAAGGGGCGACGAAGGGAGTCCGCCTTACCGGCATTGTGGTACTGGGTCACATGGATAAGCCGCACCGTCCAGTGGGAAGTTGCGATAATGCCATCTGGCACTTGCAGATTTCTTGTTGAAACAACATGGAATCACATCTGCACTTTGAAAGGCCGACAAACACGCGCATGCCTCTTTCCCCTTGTCATGCAACTGCAGTTCGATGCAGTTGCTTGCAGACAGGCCTGTCTCACCTGAGAGGCTACCAAGGACCCATACATTCAACTCTTTGACATGCGAACGGAAATCGCAGTCTCTGCCTCACCAGTGGTCTCCCGTGCACCTGCAGTCCGATTACAGACCATAGAGTGTTGAGTGTCCGGCAGCATCTGATGATATTTTGGAGAGGGGCCTGCTACGTCAGCAGGTTTAAGCTACCTGGGTCTGTATTAGGGACTTGAGATGCGCTTAAAGCAATCGATCGTGACGCTTATCGAACCAATACACGAGATACTTTACGAGGGAATCATTCGTCTTACGCGGAAACTTCCTTGTAGCTCCCGGTCGGTGTTTCTTGGGTGCGTTGCAACGCCTCCTCACCCGCCCCGCCACCACCATCCCCCTTTTCGGGTGAAAACTGGATACAAGTACACAGAGCCTGCAAGAGTGTGCGCCCTCGCTCTTGTCATCACCTAGGCCGATGATGGGATAATTACCTTAGCGACGATGATTTCAGGAGCAGATAACCCATAGCATAAACAAGATTCTAACAATTGAACCCTAGTATAACCACTACCTGAGATAGTCACGAATAACCGAAATTTCCCATGGGAAATGTTCAATATGTCAACTTCACCAGGACGCAGAACCAATGGACAAGGGAATATGCGGCAGAGAAACTCAATATGTCTTGACTGCAAATGCTCTATGTAACCCTCATCGCGAGGTATGGCTCTAATTCATTCAGCCACCCTATCCACCGGGCGAATCGCTTAATCAGGGGTATCATCTTGCACTTGCGTGCCCAAAGTCTGGCCATGTGTCTATCTCGCAGGCCTAATGTAGCACCCCATATAAAACCACGTCTACATCTCCCTCGATGCTTTTCGCTCGTTCTCAATATTCGCTCGGGTACCGGTCGTATGATAAAGGCGCGATGTCTGTGACTCATCGTCGTCAGTATCGACTCTCGCCAGACGCGGTCCGTTCAAGGCATGGGGTACTCACCAGCTAAGCACAAGGATCGACGGCGAAGTGAACCGTGACGCCCTGCCAGCCCAGGGGGCTGGGGATGCCTTCGCGGGCCTCCTTCTCCTTCTGGTGGGCGATGGCGCGGCGGGCGGCCTCGGCCTGGCAGCGGTAGCTGCCGAAGCGCCACTCCATGCGGGTCTTGCGCTGGGCGAAAGGGGCGTCGCCGCCGCCGCCAGGGGGGGAGCGGGCGAGGACCTCGACGGCCTCGAGCTGGTAGACGAAGTGGGCGTCGAAGAAGGCGGCGAGGTAGGGGCCGTTGACGATGGCGTCGGGGCCCTCGATGTGCAGGACGCGGCTCTCGGGGCCGGGCGGGGCCACCGCGGCCGAGCGGATGCGGTTGCGGCGGACCTGGGGCAGGTAGCGGCCGCCGACGGCGAAGCGGCCCTCGCGCGCCGCCCGCAGCAGCCGCGCCGCCCCCGCCACCTCGAAGAACACCAGCTTCGACGCCGCCGTCATGATGTGCGGCTGCTGCTGCTGCTGCTGCGGCGCCGCCACCGGCGGGTTCACCACGCACGCGTACACCTTGCCGCACCCCCGCACCGCCCCCAGCAGCTGCGCGTGGTCGCACCCCGGCGGCAGGTTCGTGATCCACACCGAGCAGTTCTCCTCGTCGGGGATGTCCGCCGACTGGTTCTCCGCGCGCGTGTGGTCCCCCAGGTAGTTGTCCGACATGCCAGCGCGGCGCCCCGAGCCGGGCCCCCGCCGCGGCGGGCCGCCGCGCGGGGGGTGGGTCGGGGGCACGGTCTCCGGGTTCGTCTCCCGCTCCCCCGCCGCTCGCCACTGCCACTGTCCGCGCAACGGGGGAGGCACGTAGGCCGAGACCTTGCTAGCGGTCGGCTGGTTGTCGTGCTGCGGCAGCTGGGGAGTCTGCGGCACGAAGCGGGATATAGGGGCGCTGTAGGTCACTGGAGCCGGCGGCGCCGGGGGAACCGGGGTGTACCAATCGGGGAAACCGTCACGAGAAGGAGTGGTGTCACCCGCGCCAAAGCCGTTGCGGTTGACGGTGATGTAGTCGTCCTGGATAGTCGATACCGGTCGCTGGTTGACAAAACCAACGCTCTGGTTCAAGTGCCCGTTGGTGCCTCCAAGACGGCGACCATTGGTAGGACGGTTGACTTGCCAGTTGGAGAGGCCGTATTGATCGAAGAGGCCATCGGCAAAGCAGATGGAGAAGCCATCATCATCGAGGTTGGGGAGACCAGAAGCAGTGCTGCTGGAACTCGGAGCCATGATCGATTGGGGATGGTTGAAGGTGATAAGGTAGAGTACTTAGGCAATAACAATTTGGTAGTAGAGTTGGATTATTGCAGAGATCGTCCGCAGCAAGGTGGAGATGGATGTCGCGGCTTGCTTTGTGAGGTGCGGTTTGGGAGCAGGAAGAGGGATCCAAGCTGGAAATTGCTGGACAGTTTTATACCACTTGGAGGCAGCCATCGCCGAAGGCATCCATTCACAGCCAAGGTACGCTCAGACGCATCGTGACCATGTGCCTTGGCCACAAAGGCTGCATTTGCTGTGCGAGCGTGTTGAATGTTTGTGTGCCTAAGCAATGACATCGGATCACAGCTACTTCAGATCGAGGAGAATCAAAGACCAAACTGGCAACCATCCAAAAGCTCACAATGCACCAAACGGACACCATTATGCGTATTGGTACTGCTCTAAGGTTGCTTTAAAGTGGTACCTATGCAAGGTACTTGTACTGTTCGCTGCCATTGTAGCAGACTATTCGAAATCACAGGCATCATTCACTACAATAGGACTTAGGCCCCGCCATTCCATTCAATGCTTAGGTAGTGCCAGATCCCCATTCCATCTTTCAGGTATAGAGAGTCATGCTGATCTTCTGAAGCATTGAATGGTAGAATGAGTCACCACATATATTGAATGGCTCCTGACACCCCAGTCATATCACTCGAACGAATATAAGCATCCAAAACAGCATCTACATCTTAAACATTCTGGAACATGGCCCCTCAATGCCTCAGATTATACAATAGAGCCACATATGCATTGCGCATCGTGGTCAACAAAGCCAGTCCTAGGCACTTGACACTGGCTCAACAAGAAGCTCACATATCAACACCACACTCCTGCTTGGACGTAGGTAAGAGCTTCCGGTACATGTCCTTCAATTACGTTCCATCAAGAATTTATCGGGTGTTTGGGAGGGAAGAGGCCCAGATCTGCATAGTGTAGCCATCAGACATGTGCTGATCCCTGAGTTGTTGAGTCATTACAGGCACCAAGGCCTTGTTGCTGTCTTGAACCAACAGCATACGGAGAAAGTCTCCTGCAGGGAAGCCCTCACATGCTATCAGGTATACCTGCGTTCAACTACTGCAGGCGCTTTCATTGCTCTGATAGTTTCGAAGACCGTACTTACCAGTGACTATCCCACTGATCATAAGATGAATCAGTATGGTACCACATATGCGCACACGCAAGGCAGGGGAGATCGGTGAGAGCATGGTTTCATGAATTCATTCCGGATGGCATCGGTTCCGATCGAGCTGCTGGCTTCTTCATTCGTATAGTACATAGCTACTGGCATATCGCCATCTCGAAGAACGGTTCCGATCGTCCATCCCATCCGGACGTGTGCACTGGTGCGGTTTACCAGGGGCGTTTGCCCTGCGCGTACCGGTCGCGCATCCAGGGTCGCAGAACTCGGTACTCGGGGGGCAGCGGAGAGCCCCGGGCGATGAGCTCCTCGGCGGTCTCCTCGGCGGTCTCCTCGGCGGTCTCGGCCCTCTCGGGGGTGGTGAAGCGGAGCTCCCCCAGCCCGGTAGCCACGCCCTCGACCGCATGGGCGCGCACGCACGTCGTGGGGCCAGAGGTGTCGCCGCCCGCGATGGGGCTATCGAGATCGAAGCCGCTGGCCGGCGAGTATTGGGTTCCTGGGACAGGAGTACAGACAGGCCGCCGCTGCTTCGACGGGGCGTGCGACGCTTGGGATACAGCGTGCGAGGCGGAGTCAGGATCTTTGACTTGCTGCGAGCCGGAAGCGCCAACAAAGGGGTCGGCAGGGGGCTGAACTGTGGCCCACTCCGTAAGCTCGGAGGAAGAAGCTTGCGCATACATGCGGTTCAGGGTGGCGCTCGGCTCCATCATGTGGGCTTGCATCTTGCACAGGTCGACGGTGTTGGAGATGAAGTTTCTAGTTCTCTTGAAGAAGCATTGGTCCTTATCGACAAGAGTGGAAGTGAACTTCACACCGCCGGGGCAATGCGTACGTTTGGTATCATACTGGGCACAGCGTTCCATCTTCACCGGGTGGGCATTGAAACATCCCGTGCAGATCTCTAACTGCACTATGCACATGGTGGGCGGATAATCTTCTTGGGCAGGGCAACAACGATTTCGTCGCGATACTAGGGCAGAGTCGGAAGGCGTGTGTGAGGACTTGGGTGTTTGGACTGCAAAGCCGAGCCGGAAATGGTGATCTGCAAGGCGAATGGGGACTGGTAAATCTTGAGTAGAGAAGAGA